TGCATCGGGAACATGTGTATGACGAGAGACCTAAGAGTAGGAAAAATAGAAGTGATGATAAATCTGGGACTCCAAGTAAGGGTGAGAAGTTTATTGGAAAACATGAAATCGCTGGAGGAACTCCAAGTGAGAGCAGTAAAGGACAAAATCAAAAGAAGCTTGTCCATGAGGAAAAGGATGTCATGAAAAACCAGGATAAGAAGCATAATGTTCATCAGGAGCAAGCTCATGAGAAATTACCCAGGAAAAGCAACCAGGCAGAGGCCAATGGGAATGGGAAATCACACTCACTTCCACCCTTAGCAAGAATTTCGACTGAGCCTGTTTCTGGAGCTCAGAAAGAAAATGGCGTGAAAAACTCGGCGCTAGATTTAGATAATGGAGAAGGACAAAAGGCACCAAATCAGAGAATGAAAGCTGAGAACTCGAATGGCCAGCCCATGAGGCATTCTACTCCCAATTCTCATAAAGTTCGGGATATTGATGCTCCAAGTCCTCTTCGAAGGGATTCGTCTAGTCACGCGGCTAACAGTGCTTTGAAAGAGGCAAAGGACCTCAAACACTTGGCTGATCGTCTTAAGGTTTGTTCTCATTTTTGTTGATTACGGAGTAATTTTTTTTCTGTATTTTTGCAATGCTAGTTAAATGCATTCTCTCTCTCTCTCTCTCTCTCTTTCAGAATACTGGATCCACTGAAACTATTGGATTTTACTTCCAAGCTGCACTCAAGTTTCTCCATGGAGCCTCTTTGTTGGAAAATGGAAGCAATGAAGCCACGAAGCATAACGATTTAATGCACTCGATGCATATATATAGCAGCACTGCCAAACTCTGCGAGTAAGTAGCTTCCTAAATTGGAGCTTAGTTTATGTTCCCTTGTCTAAATTGAATTTGCATTTTGTTCAGTTCGTACCGCATGGCAAAATCTTTCAGGTGGTTGTAACCATCATGATATTTTCTGGTGTTCTTTATGGATAATTCTCAAAACCTTTTAGTTCATTTCTCAAACTAGTTGTGACTATTAATCTTTAAATGGAAATGCAGTGAGTGGATAGGCTTTCTGATTGTTTGAATGGTATTTTTTTCTTTTCTAGGTTTTGTGCCCATGAATACGAAAGGTCAAAGGACATGGCTGCTGCTTCTTTGGCCTATAAATGCATGGAGGTTGCTTACTTGCGTGTGGTTTATTCGTCACATAACAGTGCAAGTAGGGATCGGAATGAGTTGCAAACAGCTCTGCAAATTGTTGCTCCTGGTAAATTTAGATGAATAACACCCCTGAGGTTTAGTCTAATTGCAAGAAATCCATTTATATTCTGAAATTGCAAAGAACTCCTTCAGATTTTTTCTCACAAATTGTCCATTCTATATCCCTCTTGAGGTTGCAATTTCGTACGATATGAGTATGCAGAAGATATTATTTCATTATATCATCAACTGATCCCTTTGTGATGTAAATTTATACTCCTTGTGTATCCAAGTGAATTGTTAGTAGTTTGATGAGATTTTGGGGTTGCGTTAATATTCTTTTCGATCCGCTGATTTAGTTTTTATAACCTTCATCAACTTTGTAGGTTCTTATTACTGTTAATTTATTACCATTTAGGTGAATCTCCTTCTTCCTCTGCATCTGATGTTGATAACTTGAACCACCAAATAACTACTGACAAGGCTGCCCTACCCAAAGCTGTGGGTTCCCCTCAAGTTTCTGGAAGCCATATCATCACTTCACGCAATCGTTCTGGTTTTTTGCGTATACTGAATTTCGTAAGTATATCGTTACGTATACATCAAAGTATGGAATGGTTTTGAGAAAACTATCCTTTAGGTTTGACCTAATTGCTAAAAACCAATTTATCTGTGATGAATACGTTAATGCGCCTGTTTTGGCATTATATCATAAGGGTATGTTTGTAATTGATCTCAGTATATTTATATCAATTGACACGTTCACATGATATGCGGTTGCGGAAAAAATGTATACGCCGTGAGTAAAGCTTCTTTATGCATTACTTGTTTGCAGGCTCAGGATGTTAACTTTGCAATGGAAGCCTCGAGGAAATCAAGAACTGCATTCACAGCCGCTACTGCAAAACTCGGTGAATCGTCGAATAAAGAGAGTCTCAATTCACTGAAAAAGGCCCTGGATTTTAATTTCCAGGACGTTGAGGAATTATTACGGCTTGTTCGGTTTGCAATGGACGCCATCAACCGTTGAAAACTTCAACCTTGTAGAAAAAAAAAAGAAACTGTACAGTTATAAGCTTGAGTTGTCCCATGCCTGTTTCATTCTTTAATACGAAGCTGCTTTGGATAAAGAACAAAGGTGTTGATGATATTTGTCGAGCATATAACAACGAAGTGGCCTTGTTGACACTCCAATATCCTGAGAAAAAAAATATAATGAAGTGACGGTGTATTGCATTCTCAGGTTTATTTCTTTTCATCTTCGAGTTCCTTTCCAATATTCCAGTCTTTCTTTTGTGTAATGGTTCTTATGTTGTGCATGCAGGTCTAGCCACACAATTTGTGCTCATGCCCCCGGTTGAATTCGCTCTTTACTTTTCCCTCCATTTGGACTAATAGAGAAATAGAATAATTGGCTGGAGTATGACTTTATCTGGACCTGAAATAACATAGTAGTCATTTATACCTCGCGTAGGTGAACGTTTGGGAGTGATTCGTGAAGGTGTATATAGGAGCNTGGTCGATTATAAGCAAATGGATAGGCGTTTTTCCAGTCACGAAATTGGGGTTGGAAGCTATTGGAGAAGTCTCATTCTGGATGAAGCATATATGCAATTAACCGGTAATTTTGTCCGAGTCTCAAAATTTTGTCTACTGAATTGTGTAGTTGCTAACTAATGGGAATTACAAGTCTTTTATGACTTACTTTTCTGGATAAAATGTTGTCTTTTGGTGCTAACTGCTAACATGATTTTTGGTTATTGCAGGTGTTGTGCATCAGGAAATGGGCATTGCAAGCTTCTGAAGAATATGTATAAGATGGCCATTTAAAATTTACCAACTTACTGTGCTGTAAATTTATGTCATGTATGTATTATCACTGGCGGCTTGTACAAGTATCTACCATTATTTCTCAGGCGAAATTTTTGCCCTCTTTGGCTCGTTCCATAATCAAGCAAGCTGCTACAAAATTATTAATCATTATTATTTATTATCCCAACCATATACAAATGCATATAAAAACCAACTGAACTTGGAAAATCATCAGATGACATTGAGCCCCAACATTTTTCTCTAATATTTTTTTAGGTACGCTATAATGAGACTGACAAGTTGCTCTCAATATAGACGTACTTATTTCACTCACATCGAAAAAAAAAAACATTCTCCTTTTGTGATTGTATTTTTTTTTCTGTGATTGTGTTTACTTTTTTGATATGAAAAATTCAATTAAAATTGAGATTTTGTTTTTTTATATATAAAACTCGATTAAAATTTAACAATCTGTGTACAATTTGCACAAATACTCTCTTGGTTGGACATTTTGTGCTTATGTTTTATTATTAAGTATGAAAAACTCGATTAAAATGGAACAATCTGTATACAATTTGCACATACACTTTCAATTTTATTTTTATTTATATTTATATTTTTATTTATTTATTTTTTCTCTCTGCCAGTATGAAAAACTCGATTGAAATTGGACAATCTGTATTCAATTTGCACACACTCTCTTGTGACTTATATGAACCGAAAAAATCAATATACTAGACCGTAAGGTTAGTCTTACTTAAGTAATTATACGAAAATCATGTTTAATTTGTAATTTAGTTACTTGTCAATTCATGGTATATATATGTTTAGGAGCTCTTTACAATCAATGGATATATTTTTAAAATTATACAAAGCGTGGTCAAATTAAAATATAAATATATTGATGTTGATATCCGAGTCCGGACCCAACGTAGGTGCCGGTCCGAGCCTGAGAAGCCGGTCACCAAAACCGCACGTGGGTGCCGAGCTGAATGAGAGTTAAAGTCGCCTGGGACGGTGGGGGGAACCAATTCCGAGATCGGCACTTCGTCCTTGTAGCTACGAGATCGGCACCCTGTTCCAAGTCTCGCAAGGGCGGCTCCTGATAGAAGTACGACGTCGGACACAATAAAATAATGCCACTTGTCTACGAATGATTGCCGATGGGACGACCAACTCAGTCAGAACGTGTCCGCATTTAATGCAGCCCACGTTCGCATTAAATGTATGGCAGGCAATGATTAGAGAATCCGGAAATCACTCCCAATCAGTCAGAAAAGCGCCGGCTTGTCCCATTGAGCTACTGTACGACAAGATCGCTGAACAGTACCCGAACAGTGCGCCATTAAAAGCTACTATAAATAGCAACTTACTTCATTTATTTTAGGTTGTTGAATCCCCAACTACTCGAGCTCATATTTTCTCTCTCTAAAAAGAACCTGTAAGAAATTCTTGTAAACGATATAAGTACATCACAAGTGCCGACCTCGTACGAGAGGCCGACCTCGTGACCCATTAATAAAATCGTGATTAAACCGTATTTCTTTGTCTTTTCTTCGTTTTCTTTCCATTACTTGACTTTTTAACCGTTGACCGGAAACGTCCGTCAACAATTGAAAAATTAATAATTTTTTATTACTAACTATTCATATATAGTAAACCAAATTAGTGCTTTAAAAAGTATTTCAAAATTCAGAATAAACATTTTTAATTAGTATTATTATTATTTTGAATTTAACACCCCTGACTTGATTGCGCTACTCTATAATACCGCCACATGTCATAAAAAGACTTATCAGCCGAACAAATCTCTTCCCCCGCGTTGACTTTCAGATGGTTATCAGCAAAAGGCCCCACATCGAAAGAATAAGAACAAAAATTATTGTTTATAAAGCACTTGCCCGACCACAATGTTCGCCGGGTTCAGTTGCGCGGGCCTGTTACCCATGCGGGGGCATTAAGGCGACGGAAGGTTTTGAAAGGTGGTTTGTGACCGGGCTCTACGCACTTTCACCGTTCCCTTTGGAGGGGTGTACCCCTGCGGTGAGTGACACGACAAGCTGGCGCTCGGCGGGCTCGTCCGGTTGATGGGCGTGTTGGGGTGCGTCCGCTGCTGTCTGTCGGTCGGTAGGCCCCCCTGAAGCCTGTCGGCCGGCGGTGAGTGGTTGCGGGTGGTTCTTCAAGTCCGTTGGCTGATGAGTGCCGTTGGGTGTCCAGCGCTGTTGGGCCATGTGTGTGCATGCGGGTGAGCTTTCAGGGTGCTTGCTTGAATGTGTGTGCGTGGCCGGGCAGTTGCTGACGCGTGAGCTTTGACTTGCTGGCTTCACAGAGCAGCACAGCCGCCATTGGGACTGCGTTAAATGTGCACAATTAGCCTCGGACATTGGACCATCTTCAAACCGAACTTCGACCTTTTTATTTTATTTTTTGCACAATCAGAGTTCCTTGTAGGTAGACCCCCGGTTGATTTCGCTCTTTATATGAACATGTTGGGAGTGATTCGTGAAGGTGTGTGTGTGTGTGTATACTAGTTTCGAATCAAGAAATTTGGGGTGGGAGCTATTGGAGAAGTCTCATTCTGGATGAAGCATATGCAATTAACCGGTAATTTTGCCTGAGTCTTTAAATTTTCTCTACTGATCAATTGTGTAGTTGCTAACTAATGGGAATTACATGTCTTTTTTATGACTTACTTTTCTGGATAAAATGTTGTCTTTTGGTGCTAACAAGATTTTGGTCTTACGCATCAGGAAATGGGCATTGCAAGCTTCTGAAGAATATGTATAAGATGGCCATTTACAATTTACCAACTCTACTTGCTGTAAATTTAAGTCATATATGTATTATCACTGGCGGCTTCTGAAAGTATCTACCATTATTTCTCAGGCGAAATTTTGTCCTCTTTGGCTCGTTCCAAAATCAAGCAAGCTGATACAAATTATTATTATTATTTATTATCCCAACCATATACAAATGCATATATAAACCAACTGAACTTGGAAAATCAATCAGATGACATGACATTAGAGCCCCAACATTTTTCTCTAATATTCTTTAATCTTTGATTTGTTACTAGCTATTCATATATAGTAAATCAAATTAGTCGTCATTTACGATTGTTGACATCCGAATTCCCCACAAGACGCATGTGGCAGTCAACAGTCGGGTCAAACTGAACCTCGACCTTTTTATTTTATTTTATTTTATTTTTTCGTTCAACCATTTTATTATATTTTGTCTTTTTTTTTTTCGTTCAACCAACCGTTGTAGCAAGAGCTCGAAAAACTTTTTCTTTTTAGTCTATTCTTTTTGTTATTCTTGGATTGTTGGACGAAGTAACCGAAGAGGATCATTTAACCGTTGCAAGAGCTCAAAATTTTTTTTTTTTCTTTTATCCTGAAGAGGATCGTTTATAGTAAGAGCTCGAAAAATTGAGCGTTTCTTCTCAAACCCTTTTTTAGTTGAACAATGTGTGTACAATTTGCACAAGTCTCTTGGTTGGACATTTTGTGCTTATGTTTTATTATTAAGTATGAAAAACTCGATTAAAATGGAATAATTTGTATACGATTTGCACACATACACTTTCATTTTTTTTTTTATTTTTTTTGCCAATATGAAAGATTGAAATTGAACAATCTGTATACAATTTGCACATACACTCTTGTGACTTATATCAATCGAAAAATCAATATTTATTAAAGAAAATAAATTATAGAAACATTTATTAAATGAACTAAGCTTGAAAAGTATTTCAAAATTCAGAATAAACATTTTTAAATACTATTATTATTATTTTGAATTTAGCACCCTGACTTGATAGCGCTACTCTATAATACCGCCACATGTCATAAAAAGACCATGAGCTGAACAAATCTCCTCCCAGCGTTGACTTTCAGTCGGTTCTCAAGAAAAGGCCCCACATCGGAAAAATAACAATAAAAATTATTGTTTATGAAGCACCTGCCCGAGCACACACTTCGCCGGGTCCAGTTGCGCGGGCCTGTTACCCATGCGGGGCATCAAGGCGACGTAAGATTTTGAAGGTGGTTTGTGCCCGGGCTCTATGCACAGTTTGTTCCCTTTATAGGGGTTCTTCCCCTGCGGTGAGCCGGTACTGCACAGTGCGGGTGGCTCTTCACTGCTTGCTCGATTGTGTGCGCGTGGCCGGACAGTTGTTGACGCGTGAGCTCTTGCTGGCTTCACAGAGCAGCAGCACAACCCAGCCGCCACTGGGGACTGCTATAAAATTGCCCTCGGACATTGGACCATCTTCAAACCGAACCTCGACCTTTTTATTTTATTTTATGTTTCATATCCGAAATTTTTTTATAATTACATATTCATTTTTATCTCTTGTAGATGTTGGGAGTGATTCGTGAAGGTGTACGAGTTTTTTATTTTTATTTTTTTGGGGTGTCAATTATAAGCAAATGGGATAGGCGTTTCCGGGATCACGAAATTTGGGGTGGGAGCCATTGGAGAAGTCTCATTCTGGATGAAGCATATATGCAATTAACCGCTAATTTTGCCTGAGTCTCTAAATTTTCTATACTGATCAATTGTGTAGTTGCTAACTAATGGGAATTACAAGTCTTTTTTATGACTTATTTCTAAAATGTTTTCTTTTGGTGCTAACAAGATTTTTGGTGGTTGCAGGTCTTATGCATCAGGAAATGGGAATTGCAAGCTTATGAAGAATATGCATAAGATGGACATTTACAATTTACCAACTCTCCTTGCTGTAAATTTATGTCATATATGTATTATCACTGGCGGCTTGTGAAAGTATTTTTCAGGCGAAATTTTTGTCTTCTTTGGCTCGTTCCAAAATCAAGATGATTTTCCAATTTCGAGGGGTAAAATAATACGAATAATTTGATTAATCTCACTCCAAAACAAAAAATTAAAAAACAGAAATTTCCATTAACAAAACGCGGCTGCTGTTGAACACTAAAACCAGAGTCTTTTCTCTTTCTTGCTTTCTCTCTCTATTCTTTGTTTCCTCTCTCTACTCTTTTCTACTCATCGTTTTGAGCTTCGAGATCGCTTAACACGATCCATTTTCCCACGATATACCTTTCAAAATTTGTGATTTTTGATTTTGTTTTCCCGTGTGTAAATTGGTACACGCGCGCGCATATATACCACTGTCATAAAATAAAATTTCATATTTTTTAATAATTTTTCTGTTGTTAGGTGAGGAAATCAGAGTAGCTAAATCCGATCAGGAAGAATAATTCCTGGGTTTTCGATTCCGTAAATTAAATTGGGTCGTGAGATTTTTTGGCAGAAAAGTGAACGGCAAAGGAAATAAAGGGGGAAAAAAATCTCACTTCGGTATTGGGAGTTTCGTTTGTTTAGTGTTTTTTTNCATGATATATGTGGCCTGTGGTTAGTAGTTCTCAAAATAGACATACTTATTCTCCCACATCGGAAAAAGAATAATAATCATTTTACTTTATAACTCCAATTCCCAAGACAAATTATCGCCGGGTTGGGTAGCTCTTACCTGTCACCCAAGCGGGGGCATTAAGGCGACGGAAGGTTTTTAATGGGGGCATCAGATCTGGTGCGCGCACGCTACCGATTTAGCCCCTTTGAGGGGAGCCGTTAAACTGGTCCCCGGCGGTGAGTTTTATATTAAGATATACACATAAGGACGCCGGTCGGCAGGGTGCCCCCAGAAGTCTTTGTCGGCCGGTGAGAGTGGTGTTGGGCACCCCACCGGGCCACGTGTATGGGTTGAATTGTGTCGTGACAGATATACGGATTATGGGCTTCGCGGGTCCATAATGTATATATCTGTCAAGGCCCGGATGGTCAACGTGTAAAAATTGCTGGCTTTAGAGAGCAGCAGCCGCTATCGGAGCTAATCCGAGAGTGTGCATTATCACTAACCTGGGGCCCCATCTAAAACCGAACCTCGACCTTTTGCGATTTTTTTTATTTTTAAAATATGGATTTTTCATTAATAATTTCAATAGTCTGCAATTTGAACAAATACTCTTATATTTTTTTTTTTCTTCACATTTCTCCCTGGAAATTGAATAATCTGCAAATACTTTGGGGCTTACTCGACCAGTACAGTTTAGTAATCAATTCACTAGAACGTAAGGTTAGTCATTAATTAATAAGTAAACATGATAAAATCATTCTTAATTTGTGTTTTGTGGCATGGCTTGTGCGGCTGTGCCCACCGCCGCCTTCAGATAACAATAGAACACAGCCATTTTTTCTTTCGCTTATATCGTACGCACATAACGACGTTTGATTCCTAACTTTTTTTCCTCCATTAGGCTTTCTGTTGCTGCTAGCCGACTCGTTCAGCTACCCACTCTCGAAGAAGAAAATGGGTTTTAGATTCTTGATAAACCTGAACCCAATTCACAGATCGCGGGCTTCAAGAATTAAAACGTACTTGGATTCCAACATTTTGAAAAATTCTTGTGCATATTGGGATTCGGGGTTTCGCGATCGGTCCGATTGTTCTGGGAACCCTAATTTCACGGCGCGGAGGCGGTGTCACGTGGGCCACTCGCACCGGGACCGCGATTCCACGCCGGGGAAGGAGGGCGAAAAGATTTTCCGGCTGGGCCTGGCGGCGGACATCGGGCTGGCCACCGGAAAGGCCGTCACTGGGTATCTCTCCGGCAGCACCGCGATAGTGGCTGACGCTGCTCATTCGATTTCGGATGTGGTATGGTTTTGTGGAGATTTTCTTTGGTTTGATGAATTTGATTTCTGTGTTTGAGCAAAAGCATGATTGGGCATCTCTCTGTCTGTCTCTTCAGGTATTGAGTGGCGTGGCACTGTTGTCGTTCAATGCGGCGAGAGCGCCGAAGGATAAAGAACATCCATATGGTCACTTTTGATCTGAATCTTCATTCTAAATGTTTCTAGCTTAAAATTTTCCTCAGGTCATAGTGATTTTTCTTTTAGTTGGTGTTTTCTCATGTTAGAAAAATTAGATGTGTTGGATGAGGCTTTAACCAACTGATGAAGGCCGTACTAGAATTGTTCATCCCTCTGTTTACTCTCTCTGTTACCCAAATGTAGTTGGTAAATTGTAATTGGTCTAGCTCATGTATTGTTGATCAATAGTTTGTAACTAAGAAATTGGTTATTGGATTCGAAATATTACGCTGAGATGGTGAATATATATTTGGTTATGAACAGAGAGCGTGCCAAAATTTTTTGGTGTGTATTAACTTTCTAAAAATTCGACTATCTATACTCGGAAGTTCATTGTGCTCTCCATCTTTCAGGACATGGCAAGTTTGAGACTTTAGGAGCACTTGGAATTTCTACCATGCTTTTGGCAACGGCTGGAGGCATTGCTTGGCATGCATTAGATGTCTTGATGGTATTAGTTGTGTATATTCTGAAAAGGATGCATTGCAGTTTAAATCCTTACTTCCTTAAGTAAATTTGTTTTTGCATTTGTAGGACATATGGTCAGCTGCTCCTGAGATAGTCAATCAATCCTTGAATCATAATCATACACATGGCGGACATCACCATGAAATCGATATGGAGCATCCAGTTCTAGCGTTAAACATGACTATAATATCGATAGCTGTTAAAGAGGGGTAGACTAGTCTTTTAGTCTGTCTTTTTTCCTCCTGTCTCTTTAAAATTATGCTTGTCTCTTCTTTGTTAGTCTTTATCTAATAATTCTGTATATTACTAAGTTGTATTATTACTTTACGTGGTAAAACATGGTTTCAATTGTTTTAGTTTCTTAATTGCCCACATTTTTCTGATATATCTGTTTGGCGTATGATTTTGGTATTGACTTTTGCTTAACGTTTTGTGTTGGTAAGGCTTTACTGGATAACGAAGAGGGCAGGTGAAAAGTCGGGCAGTGGGCTCATGAAAGCGAATGCATGGCATCATCGTGCCGATGCTGTTTCATCAGTCGTTACTCTCATTGGGGTTGGTAAATATTCGTTGTTGGGACCTTTAATGGCTGCATTAGATTTATTTTCTTTCTTTGGATGTTTTGTTTGTGTCGGCCAGTTAAAATGTGCTTGTAACAGAGGAAAATAGAAAGGGAAATTCATATATTTCCTCAAATATTGAGGATAGATATATGGCCTCTTCATGAGACTAAATTTGGGCTGCAATTGCTCCAAGTTTATCTGCTAGGATTGTCTTGCCTTGTTTCTATTTTATTTTTTTTTTCTTTTTTATTTGACTATATATACCCATAGCCTGTAAGTGGCTTGCATTGTCATATAGTGCAATCTTCAAAGTTTGTGAAGATTTATCGTTTCTTGCAAAAAATTAGGTGGATCAATTCTCGGGGTTCGATTCCTTGATCCTCTTGCTGGACTTCTCGTTTCTGGAATGATATTGAAAGCTGGACTCGAGAGTGGTTATGAAAGGTAGATTTTTGTTTCATACATGTTTTGCTATTACTAGATGTATAGTTCATTCAGTGTTCAACTGATGTCTTCTACTAAACCAGCTGAACAGAACCAACATAGATAAATCCCTTGCAAGGTGAATTATTTGAAGGATTTCTCTCTCGTGTGAAAGATTGCCCACCGTTATCCATTTCCAAGATTCTATTTTTATTTCAAAAACAATAATATTCCCATCTTTACATGTGTGAAGATGATTTCTGTTTAACTAGAGTATGATAGTGTCTCATTCCATTTTTGACGTATGTTCATGTTTAGTATCTTGGAATTGGTGGATGCTGCTGTTGTGCCTCAACAACTCGAACCTTATAAACAAACTATACTTCGAGTTGAGGGAGTTAAGGCAAGTCAATAACAGAAAACACTGCATCAATTAATAGCTTTCTCTCTTTCACTCTAAATGTGTGTTGCAAATTTATAGGGATACAAACACATGAGAGGAAGACGAGCGGGATCTTCCCTTTATCTTGATGTAGACGTTGAGGTTTTGTTGGCTCTCTACGATTGTGTTATTAATTTATGCATTCATAACAAATTTTCGCAATGTTAATACTTAAGTACAACGCATTTTAAAGTAGGTATTAAGCAAAATTTTGATTTCTGTTATACAGGTAGATCCCTTTTCCAGTGTTAGTGCTGCACATGATATTGGTGAAAACGTTCGGCGTCAGCTTCAGCAATCTTATCCTGAAGTAGCGGAAGTTTTCATACACATTGGTGAATAATTAACATTTGTTTTATGTATTTCTTGTTTTAGTTTTTGTTTTTAAATATCCTTTGGCCTTTTGTATATCTATTTACAAATAAGCATGCCACATTATCTCGATTTGCTTGGTTTTGTTTTGCTTATTGTGTTTTTCTTCTCAGAGCCGGCCACTTCACATATCTCGGGAAGTGATGGTGATCACCAAGTAAATGTTAAAAGCTCAGATCATCATGACAATACCAGATTATTGGACCAAACTGATGTTGAAGATATAGTTTCTAAAATTTTGTCCTCCAGGTTCTCAGAGGTAAGCTGGGACATTTGAATATATATACATTAGCAGACACGTATTGTATCTAAAGTATCGTTTTATCGTTTATTTATTGTTTGTTTTTTTTTCCCGTTTATCCTTATGCTGCACGATTTTGTATGGCTTCCAGAAAATGGAAGTTGAGCGCATTACCCGACACTCGATTCAACGGCAACTTTTTCTTGAAATCGAAGTCTCGATGCCATTGGACTCGTCAATTAGGTGAAGTTCAATATCTATCTATCGCTTGTCATAATATTAATATCCCCATTTTTTACTCGTCTCTACAATTCGACTTACTCTACCACAAATGATTCGAAATCTAGGGAGGCTGTAGAGCTTGCAAAAGAGGCCGAAAAAACGATTGTGGAGGTTGTGCCAGAAGTCATACACGTGTCCATTCAGCTTCGACTTGGATGCTCGATGCCCGAGTTTCGAAAAAAAGTAGGCCGTTAAGATGCGCTTTTAATTGGTCATTTTTGACTAAATTATGTACTAAGTATGAAATTTGGTATCTTTTTGTCACCAAAATCACTAGTATATGTGTCGGCAGTTTGTGACAAAGAAAGACTGGTTTACTGAATAGAATAATTTCTTTGGCATTCAACTTGGGAGTATTGAAACAATTGGAAATTGTACTGAATGAGTTTATCACTTTCATATTACATGAATTATTATTAATATTATATTATTAATAATTACAGTAATATGTCCCTTACACTGTCAAATCCCTCCTGAGGATGAGACAGCTGTTGATTAATAGTGTCTGCTTGCATCGACCGTTGATTCATATTCTCCAGATCCAATTGCCCATCACTCAGCAGATTGTGTGGTCCTGATCCACCGAGCCCCAAGAAATCGACGGTAGCCATTGCACTTCCACCTAAGCTTGTTGGAGTTTCTCCCATCATATTATTACCCTTCTCTTGTGCCCCCACCACATTCTTCAAGAACCCGGCCACCGGATTTTGGTCGCTGATCAAAATTCCGCCGTAAAGAATTGTTTCGAAGGGCTTGGTGGCCGTATCTTCTGTATTCCTCTGCAGAAATTTGTCGAATGTGTAAGTATTGGTTGTGGGCCCTGATCCAGGCCCAGACAAGAGGTTCGGGCCCGCCATGATGTTGTCCAAGGTCTCCTGCACCATGGGGAAATGCATAGTGTTTGAAGCTGTGGCATCCATCTGGGCCGCTTCCTGTAAAAGGGCCGTGGCCGGCATATTTGGGCTAAACATGTGCCTCAATTTGTCGTCTGGATTAAAGCTGTAGCTTGATGGGCCTGGATTTGCGCTGAGCTGAAGCTCAGATGATGAACTATGGATGCTCAATGGGCTGCTGCCGAATATGGTGTCTGATGATGACGTGGCAGATAGCAGGCGTGCCACATGCATGGGCCTGAATGGGCTGTTGAATTCGGTTACGCCTATGGAAGTGTATGCGTTGGTGCTTATGGGCATGAAATCAGTCATTTGGGTTTCTGCTTCTTGGGCCGTTGAGCCCATTGTTATGCCATGTCTCACCTTGCTATTTTCTTGGGCCAGTGCATCACAGAATAACCTGTGAGCTAGAAAGCTATCTCTCCTGATCAGTGGACAAAATCACAATAAAAAATTGAGACAAAGTCAAGAAAAAAGTAATCAAATTAAGCAGTCAAGAAAAAAGTAATCAAATTAAGCTATTTTTCATATTATAAACTAAAACTGTTTATTTACTAAAAAATCATAATTTTTCTCATTTAGAAAGCCAATTTGTTCATTACTCACCTTAATCTCTACAAATATATATTTTAGTTTAAAAAATAAGGAGAAACAAAAAGAACATTTGTGAATATGATAATAATAACAACAACAATTAATAATAATGAGGGTGTATTTGTCCATTTAGAATAATTGTTGATTTCAAATTTTAAAAAACCTTAAAATTTCATAACTAGCTAGGTCCCTTCAATTCTAAATGCAAAGAAAATGTTCAATGTTACTTAGCCAAAAAAAAAACTGCATGAATATTATAATTTCTTGATTTTGAACCTGGATAAAACAGCTCCACAATCACATTTATACTCCCTTGTGCCACAAGTTTTCCAATGAGCCTTCCAATCTGATTGCACCGCGTATTTTTTCGAACATTTTTGGCATTTCCACTTTTTCTCCCCATGTTTTCTACTATAGTGCTTCTTGATCCCGGTTAGGTCACCAAGAGCACGAGAGGGGTCGTGATGCACGCATGTTGGCTCGGGACAAACAAAAACTCGCCTAATTTTAACCTCATTTGTAATTGTCTTTTTTTGTCTTAGCTTCCATGGGAGATTATGACCCCTTTTGTGTAGTTGTAGGTTTTGGTCCCTTTGGAAACCTTTGTTACAAATTTCGCACACAAACCGATTTGTGGCCATGAGGGTTTTTGGCGAGAGGGAAATAACTTCGGCCGTTGGATCTAATTAACATGTGATGATTGATCGTATAAATTAGAAAGACAAAAGATATATATAATCGAGTAATTCTTTGTGATCTTAGAGAAAATTGACTAGCTCAGCGCGTTTAAATTTTAAAGAAAGTACATATATAACATTATGATCGTTTATGTATGAAATTGTATATGGTGTTAATTCAAATATGATAAGTGGATCTTATGTACTGCAAATTGAAACTCTGATAATGTTTTAAGTTTGATATATAAATCCAATTTTAAAAAGGAGATACAGTAGTTGATGGGAAAAGGTGCAATCAAGCACAGTGTGGAGATTGCAATTATTGTGATATTCAAGGCAATTATTGGACACTTTTATATGTGGTTTTTTGATAAATTATTTATTTATTTATTTCTTAATATATGATCAGTATATGACACACATGAAATAATGTTTATTCGTTAAACTCTACCTGAAATGCATCGTCATCATCATCTATTCATCTTCATGTCAAAATTCAAGTTAAAAAACAAAACACCAGTACATTTTTCATCATCTTCTTCATAATCAATTTCACANCTATCGATATTCATTAAAACCAAAACACCATAGTAAAAAAACCCAATAATGTCATTTAAAATCTCCTAGCAATTATGAAAAAAATTACCTGGAGTTCCTGGTAGATTTCTTTTCTTCTTAAGAGGCTGTAATTGTTGATGAAAAGTTGAGCAAATATTGTTATTAGTCGACTCGTTTTGAAGCTGTCGATTTTCGTGTTTTTGGACTTCACCAGATGAGAAGCTTTCCTCATAATCATGATCACCTGTAATAACATTTGACATTAGATTAATGTAACTGTATATGGAAATCTAAGCTAAAATAATTTTTGACAAATGTCTTCTTTTTTTAGGATAACCTCAAAGGTTGAGTTTTTGTTTTTGCTTTTTATATATTTTTTTGGGTGACCATAAAAATGAGGATTGGAGGAGGACAAATGGGCCATGAAATTATCCTGTATTTGAGGGAGCTAATGAGATTGGTCTTCTTTAAGTTATATGATTTTATTTTATTTTTTGTTTTATTTATATTATATGCTGTTGATTAGAGGACAGGTGATTGAGAAATCCTACCAAACTTTTTTCAATTATAAACAATTAAAAACCTTGTAGAATAGAAAAAGAAAAAGGAAATGATAATTATAGTAAAGAATAAACATAGAACACACACACATGCATGTGTTTTGAATTTTTAATTGGATTTTTTTTTTCTTTCCCAAAGGTTGATGATTGATTGCTTGAATTTTGGGAGTTTGTTTAGTTAATGAATAAGCTGATGAAAATTATTGAATTTCTTGTTTGTCTTGCAAACAATCATTGGAACTTGGAAGTGATATATACAAGATAGTAATTAAGTATAATTTGTCAAAATTAGTAAAAGTATAAATATATATATATATATATGGGTTGATTCAAATAAAAACTAGTCCTGGTGTGAGAACCATATTTTATAAACAATTAAAAACCTAAGTTATAT